ATACCATAATGATGGGTACATGTCACTATGCACTTGCCAGAATTCATCAGATGTTCAATACCAGGATTAAATCATAATGAAAACTATGGACTTTTGGTGACTATGATGTGCCAGTGTAGGCTGGTCACTTATAACGAATGTATGCCTCTGGTGGGAGATGCTGATAACAGGAAAGGCTATGAATGTGTGGGATTCTGGAAGTATATGGGCAATTTCTGTACCTTCCCTATAATTCTGCTGTGAACCTGAAACTGATCTAAAAAAATAAAGTCTTAATATTTTATTTTAAAGCTAAGAGAGATCAGTAACTGTTTTAAATGACTAATGTTAACATTTGAAGAAGAGACACAAATGTAAGAAAAACAGTACTCAGTAGGACTTCAAGGCCTTCCTAGGTGACAATAGTGGTAAAGAACCTGTCTGCCTACAGGAGACATAAGAGACTCGGTTCAAACCCTGGGTCAGGAAGATCCCCTGGAGGAAGAAATGGCAATCCTCTCCAGTATTCTTGCCTGGAGAGGAGCCTGGCGGGCTACAGTCCTTAGGGTCACAAAGAGCTGGACACAACTGAAGTGACTTAGCACAAGCATGAATAAGACTTTAGAAATTACGGTAATTCCAAGAGTCCTTATAATTTCATCCCCAAAATGATGTCCCCTAGTGCTCACAGGTGTGCAAATGCCCAGAGCAAAGACATCTGGCCTGAACTACTTGCTATGTAGCCCTGAGCGACCAGCAGGCCATTTGGGCCCACTTTATTGGTCTAAGTGTCATCTCATCTCTGAGCTGTCTGCAGGGTCTGATGTAAAATGATTGGGCTCCCCACCCACCTACACATACCTGATGGTTAGTTGGTGTCACCGATTCGATGGACATGAGTTTGAGCAAGCTCTGGGAGTTGGTGATGGACAGGGAAGCCTAGCATGCTTCAGTCTATGGGATCTCAAAGAGTTGGATACGACTGAGTGACCAAACTGAACTGAACTGAACTTAAATGAACTGAACATTGGGCCCGGAGACTTCTGACTTCTCTCTTTTTCATTCCAGCTGCTCCATAACCCAGCTCAGGTTTCTTCTCTTTCAGGAAGTAGAAAAGAATCAACACTTCTTGGCTACCTACCGCTCATCTGGTATTTTCCATGTATTATTTCTATAAGTAGGATCTCATGGTCAAAAGATACTCCCTCTCTCAAGAAGCCATTTGAGACTAGTGTTTGCATGGAACCTGGAATATCTTCTGGGAACAAATCTTGATATGCTGTTGATGCCTGTGACTTGGACATGCCTAACAGAACAGACTCAAGGACTATGGGTAGGGAAGCCCTTATAGAAGCCAGCAGGGAAATTGACTCTAGTAACCCAGACTGGGCAACAGACCCTCAGGGCTGCTGGGGAAAACTAGACTAGTTAACAGGTAATCTCTGCTCAGCCCTGACATTCTAGGACTATTTCACATTTCAAAGAGCTGTCTCACCAAATTCTGACTCTCTGGGGTCCTAGCAGGCCCTGGAGTTCACTAATGGAGTGTAAGTGAGGGAGAGAGTGTTTTTGATCCTTATTGTCCCTATCAGAGCCAGGACCCTAAGTCATGAATCCACCTTAAAGTGCTGCTGAAACACATCACTCTGTACTCTGTAGATGTTTGTTAAGTAAACGAACCAAGCCATCCTGCACCGTGAAGCTCAGATCCTCCGCTGTTTTTGGTGAGTCTCCAGGACAGTTTCACCAAATGACCAGCCTGAGCCAGTAAGAAATGAGGAACGTGAGTTTTGAGTGGTACCATTGTAGAATTGTGGGGGTCAGAAGCTGGTGAGTGAAGGGTCACACCCCAATACTAAGGAACACCAGGACTACTTACGGACCTGTTTTCAGCAAGTAAATGTCCTCATGAGTGGGGCAGATATCAGTATTAACATGATCTCAGTTGTATCCTTAGGATGAGACCTTAAGTTCATATTTCACTTAATTCTCATGATACCACTGCAATTGGAGGACGGCATGGCAACCTACTCCAGTATTCCTGCCTGGAGAATCCCATTGACAGAGGAACCTGGTGGGATATTATACACAGGGTCACATAGAGTTGGACACAACTAAAGCTACTTAGTATACACCACTGCAAATAACATACACATTTCCCCCATTCACTGATTAATAAACTATTATTACAATCATATTGAGATTATAATATGATTGTATTACATATCTCATCTATCCATTAGGAGATTTTCTCAGTGGCACACGGCCATAAGCATTTATTTCTCACTCAGGCACCTGTGGGTTGGCTTCAGCTCATCTAGGCTGGGCTTCGTTCCAAACTGTAGGGGGTCCAAGCATGCCTTCTGTATCTTTTTGTCTTCTGAGGTCAGCAGGCAGCTGGGGCATGTTGAATGGGATTAGAATATGCAACCCCAAAATATGCTGCTTTGGCATAAGGGTTATTGAGAATCTGCAGATGCAGGAAAAGCCCTTCTGTTTTCTGCCCAAAAGCAGGGCACAAATTTCCCTTTGTAATGATGTCCTCTCCTCTCCCATACCAGGAAGAAGAGAGCAACTCTATCACTAGAGATGGAGAGTCAGCACTGAGATGAGTCTGCATTAAAGAATCTTTCTAAAATAACTCTTATGTTCCATTAGTTTCCCCATATATTTCCTAGTTACTTCCCACAATACATCACCCCTCAAATCCCAAACCCCCTTTCCCTTGTTAAAATGGTATATAAGCTCCTGGGTCTAGCCATTTCTTTGTGTTTCTTTTTCTGTAAATTCTCACATGTGTAAAATATTAATTTAAAAAGTGTATGTCTTTTCCCTTGTTGTCATTTATTGCTTTCATCTGCAGGTCCCCATTGAAAGAACTAAGGAAGGTATAGGTGAAGTTTATCTTCACCAAAAATTTCATGACAAAAGGTTCAAAACCCAATCAGGCAAGCATCTTAAAGCCTTCATTCGTATCAGCTCCACTAAGGTCCTGTTGGCTAAAGCAAGTCATATGGGTAACCACATGAATCAGGAATATTATGCCACCTATAGATGTGGGAGGGGCTTGCTTTCAACTTCCATTTGTCTGATACCAAAGCTGGAGCTTCTTTCTTGCAGCCTTCATTGGCTGCTCCCTTCTATAAATTCCCGCAGGCTTGTTGTCTTTACCACTCAATGAAGCTTGTTGTTTTCATCACTCAATTACATACTTTTGTCACATTGTTCAGGCCTTTGTTCTTTGGTATTTGCTCTGTTTCCCCTGTGGGATCATTTAGTTACTAAAGCAGGGGCTTCAGGGTCACTCCTGGCACCTACACAATGATGGCACAGAGAAGGAGAATGGTAAAGAATTGTTGAAGGACTAGTCAGGTATATTTTTCCTATTTTCCTACCAAGAAGCCTGAAATAAGTGCCACTGTGGGTATCCTGCCAGATTATATGAGAACAAGCCCAAAAGAACTGAACATATAGACTGCGCCTGCACGGTGCTGAAAGATTTCGACAGCTCTTCATTATTTCGGAGGATCTTCCACCAGCAAGTACAGCTGATTTAATCAGCACAGTGTCCTCCTTGCAGACTTAATTAGCAGCTCTTGTCAAAACTTAGCTTCCTGTTAAAAACAGACTTTAAAAAAAAATTATTCCAAGCTTATTTCCTTATTTTCAGTTACATTTCATCCAGACATGACACCAAAATCTCACTTTCTTTTTTAAAGTTGAGCTATAATTGACATATAACATTGTGAAGTTTAAGGTGTACAGTATGTTGATTTGATACAATTATATATTGCTATATTATTACTAGCATAGGGTTAGCTAACACTTCCATCACACCACATAATTTTCATCTCTTTTTTTCTGGTGAGAACATCGAATCTCTACTTTCTTACTAACTTTCAAATACAATATTGTTAAAAATTAAAAATAGAACTACCATGTGATCCAGCAAACCCACTTCTGGCTATACAGCAAAAGGAAATGAAAATAGGGGCTTGAAAAGATGTCTGCAACTCTTATGTTTATTGTTGCATTATTCACAATAGTCAAGATATGAAAACAACCTAAGTGCCCATTGATGGATGAATAAAGAAGACATAGTATAAATATACAATGGAATATTATTCAGCCACGAGAAAGAAGGAAATCTGTGCCAATTTGGATGGAGCTTGAGGGCATTATCTCACTTCTATGTGGAATCTAAAAGAACCAAACAAACAGGAAGAAGAGTGGTGGTTACCCAGGATGCAGGTGGGGGAACTGGGGAGATACGGGTCAAAGGGTGCAAACTGGCAGTTAGAAGACTAATAAACTCTGGAGATATAGTGCACAAAATCTCACTTTCTAGACTTAAGAAATGAAGATTCAGACTGATTCAAGAATGCCCTTCCCCTAGTCAATCAGAGATGATGGTAGTACTGGTTAACATTTACTAAGCAGGATTATGTACCAGGATTATGCATTCATAACCTTATTCGATATTTATCTTACCCCATCTCATAACTGTTAAAATTATTCCCATTTTGCACCTGGGGAAAATGAGATTTAAAGAGATTATGAGACTTTTCCAGGGTCATCGTGTTTAGGAATGGTAGAGATGGGACATCAACCCTAACCAAAGAAAAATCTGTGCTCTTTAGTGATCTAAATCTCTATTGTGTTCTTTTTTATATTTTATTTTAATGGACTATTTCAAACGTTGTGAAAAATAATGGTCAGGTACTCACCAACCAGTTTTATACAATGCTTGGTTAAGACTCTGTCCTCCTACTGCAGAGGGCCCAGTTTCCATCCCTGGTCGGGGAGCTAAGGCCCAGCCAAAGATCCTGCAAGCAGGGATAAAAATTTTTGTTTTTTATTTTTATTTTTATTATTTAAAAAAAAATTTTTTTTTATTAACAGCACTGTGCAGCTTTATTAACCATTCAAGTACAGTAGCGTCTGTAAGATCGGGACAGAATTGGGACTTAAAAGTGAACAGATAATCAGCATCTAACAATTTGAAAGAAGCCACTACATACTCTTTTCACAGACATGTTTTCACGGAGCCAATACAGTACTAGCCATTAACCCAGCACACCAGGTGTACTGAGGTAGAAAAGATGCAACAAGAAAAATAGCTACATTAGAAAGACTTCAACACTTTAGAAAAAGAGTAAAACACTTTTCGTTTCTCCCCTTTAGCCCCTAGAACAACATCATACTGTCTGGATCTACCTATACAGTCCTACATCAGCTTCTAGAATATTTGTCAGGAGGGCAAAAGTAAAATGACACCGGCCAGTACAGTCTTTGGATATTTAGGAGGGGAGGGGGAGAAAGTCAGTTCTCAGATCAAATTAGTCAGCTTCAGTCTCATCAGCAGGGTCTTTGGATTGTTTGTTCTTCCGCACTTCTTCAATGTGCTTGTCCTTCTCTCGCAAACGCTCCAGTTTGGCAGCCATTTGTGCCTCCCGGTTCTCTTTGTTGGCTTCCATCTTGTGGGTCAGCTTCTCTTCCGCCATTTTACTGAAGTTGTTGTTCTCCTCTATCGCTTTCTGAAGCACTTCTTTCTCGTGCTCCCGTTTCTCAGCAAGCTGCTTCAAGACCTCAGCTTCATGGGACTTGCGTCTTTCTTCTGCAGCTTCTAATTTCTTCTGAATTTCCTCCAGGGAAAGATCCTTCTTCTTAGGAGGGGAAAGGGGAAATTCTGGGACAGATTCTTTTGATCGAGGGCTGAGAATCAGCTCAAAAGCCTGGCCTGAGGCACGCTTCTCCAGTTCCTTCACCTGGATATCAGAAGAAGCCATGGTGAAGAGAAGACAAGAGACTGGCAGTGTACTCTACACGATTCACTGGCAAGGAAAACCCTGCTCAGTCCGAGCCGCCTGGCCACACTCTCAAAAATTTTTGAATAAATAAAACAACATGCAGACGCAGAAACCTTCCCACAGGTACCCCTCCTTCCCCCTGTACCCTCCCTGTATGCCTAGTGTTAAGGTGCTTCAGTCGTGTCCGACTCTTTGCTGCCCCATAGACTGTAGCCCACCAGGCTCCTCTGTCCATGGGATTCTCCAGGCAAAAATACTAGAGTGGGTTGCCATGCCCTCCTCCAGGGGATCTTCCTGACCCAGGGATGAAATCTGCATCTTCTATATTGGCAGGCGAATTCTTTACCACTAGTGCCTCCTGGGAAGCTCTCTATGCCCAGGGGGATCCACTATTTGAATTTAGAATTTCTCATTTCAGTGTACTTTTAAGACTTTTTCTGTGTATGTAAATAAGGACAAACATTATATAGAATCGTTTTGAATGTTTTAAAATTGTATTTAAATAGTATCCTACTAAAATTTGCTTTTCATTCCACCCTGTGTGTTTGCTATATATGTTGATATATATACAGGAACACTAAACAGGACTACTGGTATGTAATATTTCATTTTGCTACTATTAGTTACCCATTTTCCTGGTTTTTTTTAAATACTAACAGTATGTCAATGCCTGTTTTCTGAACGTATTTCTTCATGCACGTGTGCTAGAAGTTTTTGATAATACGTAACAAAAAGTTCAATTATTGTGTCAAAATATATGCATATTTTCTACTTTATAGCTATGTAGCTGGCTAATGTGTTAATATCCATTTACACTCCCACCAGCAGATCTGAGAGTTGTGCATATCTTGTATCCTTACCAACATTTGAAATGGTCAAAATTTTTAATATTTTCCAATCACGTGATAGTCAATGGTAGTTAATTTTAGATACTCTGAAACTTCTAAGGCCAGGAGGGAAGCAGCCACCTACAGAACACATGCTCTGTGACACAGATTGGGTCACGTATTTTCAATCTTACTTAGGGCTCACAGCAATCCTGCACAGTGGGGATTATTAGTTTTGTTTTCAAAATGCAGAATCCAAGACTCAGATAGATGACCCAAATTTGCCCGAGATGCAGGTGGATGCATCCTGTGGTGTCAGTGTGTGCCCGCCCATCTGTAGACCCGGTGTTGTGTGGTTGGTCTCCTCTTGTATTCCGGAGCCAGCAGTCACCCTCTTGCATGACTTTTCAGGAGTACCAGGCTTAGCAACCCCCAACCAACGCTAGTCCTAAACTGCCAGGTTTGAGTACAAATAGCTTAAATGAGAAAATGTCTCAACTTTATTTTTTCATTGCTGTTGTACTTGTCTTTCAATTTTTTTTCATGAGTTGGTATTAGTGTGTATTGAAAAATGATCACCATAATGAGCATAATTAACAATCATCTCCATACATAATTAGAAAAACGTTTTCCTTGTGACAAGGACTTTTAAGACTTACTCAGAAGTTTTCAAAAATACAATACGATATTACTATCATCACTGCTATACAGTACATTCCTTTGACTTATTTATCACTGTAATTTTGTACCTTTCGACCTCCTTAATGCATTTCACAGTACTCCCATGTCCTGATTCTGAAACCTTCAGTCTGTTCTCTTTATCTATGAATTTGGTTTTTGTTTGTTTCTTAAGTTCCACAGATTAAGTGAGATCACATGGTATTTTGTCTTTCTCTGTCTGGCTAATTTCACTTGTTTCAGCATAGTGCCCTCAGGTCAATCCATGTTGTTGTAAATAACCAGATTTCATTCTTTCTTATGGGTGAATAACATTTCATATATATACCACAATTTCTTCTCTTCATCCATTAAAATCAAGGTTTGTGATGTCTCCAGCCTTGTTCTTTATTCTCAAGATGGCTTTGACTATTCAGGGTCTATTGTAGTTCCGTACACATTTTAGGACTATTTGCTCTAGCTCTGTGAAAAATGCCATGGGAATCTTGATAGTAATTGTATCAACTCTGCAGATTGCTTAGTATGGACTCAATCTGCAGATTGAATAGTATGGACATTTTAACAATATTAATTCTTCCAATTGCTGAGCATGGAATATCTTTCCATTTACTTGTGTCTTCTTCAATTTCTTTCATCAATGAGTTATAGTTTTCAAGAGAAGAAACACTTACCTGAGAAGACAGATCCAAAAATCATTGCTAACACTGATGTCAAAGATCTCACTGCTTGTGTTTCCTACTAAGTGTTTTATGGTTTCAGGCCTTAATTTAAGTCTTTAGTCCATTTTAAGCTTGTTTTTTGTATTATAGATGGTATAAGAAATTGGTCTAGTTTCATTCTTTTACATATGGCTGTCTAGTTTTCCTAGCACCATTTATTGAAGAAACTGTTTATTTCTGTGTAAATGTCCTGGGTATTTTGATAGGGATTATACTTAATCTGTAGATTGCTTTGGGTAATATGAACATTTTAATATGAGTGTGAAATATCTTTCCATTGATTTGGGCTGTCTTCAATTCCTTTCACTGATGTCTTATAGTTTTTGAAGAGTACAGATCTTTCACCTCCTTGGTTAAATGTATTCTTTGGTATTTTATTCTTTTTTTAAACAATTGTAAAACATATTTCCTTAATTTTTCTTTCTAATAGTTTATTATTGGTGTATAGAAACAAAATGGATTTTTTTTCTACAATGTTACTGAACGTTTGTTAGTTCTAAGTATTTTTTGATGAAGTTATTAGAGTTTTCTATATATAATACCATGTCACCTGCAAATAATGACAGTTTTACTCCTTCCTTTCCAATGTGCATGCTTTTTTTTTTTTTCCCCTTATTCTTGTCTGACTGTTGTGGCTAGGTCTTTCAATACTATGTTGAATAAAATTGGTGACAGTGGGCATCCTTGTCTTGTTTCTGACCTTAGAGGAAAAGGTTTCAACTTTTGACCATTCAGTATGAATGCTAGCTCTGAGCTTGTCATATATCACCTTTATTACATTGAGCTATGTTCTCACCATACCAACTTTGTCAATTTTTTTTTTCATAAATGGATGTTGAATTTCATCAAGTGCTTATCCTGCATCTATTGCAATGCACTGTTTGAATAAATGAATGAGAAGTGCGGAGGTTATATTAGACCTCCCTCCTGACTCCTGGGAAGACCTCTGAAGGAGTCAGGAGCTCTGTCAATCAACTAACAGATATGTAATGAATTGGAATTGTGTGCAAGGCAGTAAGTCCTTCCCACCCTTCTTAGGAGGTCAGTGCCTGCTCTGCAGCTACTTAGGGATCTGCCAGTCACGGGGGCCTGATCACAGAGGAGCCAGGGGTCCGAGATAGAGAGGAAAGAGGATCCCCAAAAGATCACAACCACCACACACTCTGCTCGCAACTACTCAGGCTGGTCAGTGAGAGGGACTAAATATATGTTTAAAATTGCAAATCTCATTTTCTGAAAAGCAAATTCTTTTGAATCACTCAAGTTTTATGTTCTTCTCCAAACACAGCTGAGATTCCGGTGCTATTTTAATTTTTGTCTAAATAATATTTTTTTTTACCAATTACAAAAGTTACAAGTAAATTATAGAAAAATCTGGAGAATATGGAAAAGCCCCCACATCTCCGTAATTCCTGTAGCCAAGGTCTCCTGTTGCTAGTAGGGTTTACATTTTCAGCTTTTGGACCTAGAGATAATAGATGGACAGATAGTACTGCTTTGTCTTCTTTTTGACTTATAGTTTGTAATCTTGTAATCTTTTAGCTCTTGTTTTCACTTAACAGCTTTCTATGTCAAAAAATAAGTTGGCCTCTGGGGGTGAGAGTGCATTTGAGGGCTCAGCTGCTGGTTTGCCTAGCTGGCCTGCAACTCTGCAACCCTTGGTAACCGGATACTCCTGCTCATGTTGCTCTTGCCCTGTGAATTCTAGAGATTCAGAACCTAGAACTAGCTAGAATCTAGAACCTGGCTAACCTTCAGGAAGAACTGATAGGTTGAGGTTAGCAACAGCTATGAAGATCTCTTGGGGAGCTGCATGCGGGAAAAAGGAAGATGAAACTGTCTCTTGAAGGTGTCAACTTTAGATAAAGGAATCAAATGATTCTCAAACAGGTGCTTCGTTTGATCAGTTTTGTTGTGCTCAGTCATGTCCAGCTCTTTCTGACCCCATGGACTGTAGGCCACCAGGCCCTTCGGTCCATGGACTTTTGCAGGGAAGAATACTGGAGGCTTCCTCGGTGGCTAAGATGGTAAAGATTCTGCCTGCAACGCAGGACACCGAGGTTCAGTCCCTGTGTCAACACAGGAAGATCCTGTGGAGAAGGGAATGGCTGCCCACTCCAGTATTCTTGCCTGGAGAATCCCACGGACAGAGGAGCCTGGCGGGCTACAGTCTTAAGGGTCACTAACAGTGGGACACAACTGAGTGACCAACACGTGCAGTACTGGAGTGGGTTGCCAGTATTGACTGACGGGGGGATTCTTTACCGCCGCACCACCGGAGAAGCCTTTGAGCAGTTTAAATGCACACAGATAAGAGAAACTAGGTTAGTTTAGATGAATTGGGAGTTTTGTGGGTTTTTTGGCTTTTTATTTTTTCAATTTTTAAAATTACGATTGACCTTTGTTTTCAATATTTCAGTCCTTAAAAGAGAGCGTGTGGACTTTGAGATCATGTGATCTGAGCTAAAATCCTGGCTTTAACACTTCTTACAGATCTGCCTGGGTCAAGAGACTTAACTTCTTTGTGCCTCAGTTTTCACATCTGTAAAATGAGATTCAGAATATCTGCTTCTCAGGCTATGGCAAGCATTAAATGAGAAATAAAGGTTGTGCATTTGTCTGTGTGTCTACTATATGGTAAATACTTAGAAAACAGTAATCCTCTTTTCCTGTTCTCTTAGTTCAAAACAAATCAGTTGTAGTTTCTATACTATAAATATGGAGTCCTTCCTAAGTGCTTTATTTACAATTTCAAGTTCATTGACTCTTTCAGATTAGTATAAGCTCTTATTTCAGTTAATAATTCACTGCAATAGAATGTTAATACTTCTTGAAAACTGTAAAATACTGTATTATA